CTCTGGATGTGTGAGATCTGTGGTGCGAGCTCTATGGTCTTCCCCGGGTGCCCATCGGGCGAGAGTCAAGAGCTCCCAACCAACACGCGCTGGCCACGGGCGTTCTCCAAACAAAAACGTGGAACGCCCAGCTTACACGAGGCCCCATAGCCCTTCAGTGCAAGAGTTGTCTGAGAGTCATAACTACAGCAACTGGATCTGGGACTCAGCGAGCAGGTGCAGACAGAGCGGATCGACGCTTGCAGCGCGATGTAGGAGGCGACGCCCAGAGGCCCATTCCCTCCTCCTCGTTGTCGGCGTCCTCCTTCCTCCTCGTCTGTTGCACACCCTCACGGCTGCATGCTGCAAGAGCCAAGGGCGAAATCGCATCACAATGAGCTCAGGAGGTGACCTTAGGCTCTCGATTCTGCGTCTTGGGGCCCCCGGTGGGGAACACCATCGGACCGTGCCCCTCCCTCTCGGATCGGGCTGGGAATTGCTCTCGCCTCCAGCCAAGCGTTCCAGCGCGCGTTGTCTTGCCGTCTGTCGGTTATGTTTCTCTCCCGCTCTCTCTCCTCTCTCTCTCTCTCTCTCCCCCGCCATGTTGCTGTCTCGTGTGATTTCTAGCTCTGCTCGATGAGATTGAGTAGAGAGGATCGGGTGCCTAGGAAGTGACAGCGTTCGAGGGAGCTCTGCAGCCTTCGAGAGGTTTCACTGAGAGTACGTAGCGCGGGCCGAAGGCAGGGGAGAAGTGGAAGCGAGCGATCTCTCTCAGATCTTGTTGAAGGCGTGCCTTCCGCAGCTCGTCCTCCTCCGATCGTTCTATCCTGCGGTGGAGTCCTGCACTGATTGCAGGCGAGCTTGCGTGTGCGTGTGCGTGTGCGTGTGCGTGTGCGTGTGCGTGTCTGTGTGCGTGTTTGTGTGTGTGTGTGCGTGTGTGTGTGTGTGTGTGTGTTGGCGCGCCTGCGCCACGTTCTGCGCCCCCGGGGAGTCTCTCGCTGGCTGGCGGCTCCTGGCCGACGCCCACCGCCGCTGCCCCTCTGCGGGGTGGGCCCTGCCACCGTGGGCTGGTCCTGCCCTTCTCCTCCCCAGACATCCGACGTCTCGATTTTTTCGAGACGCGGGCCCCCGACCTCCCGACCACTTCCCTGGGACCGGTTTTTCATCCCGAGTCGTTTTTTGACGGTCCCGACGCCCGGCGAGGGCCCCGAGAGGCTAAAAACTATGAAAAACCTCTGTCTCGATTTTTTCGAGACGCCCGATGTCTGGGTCGTGGCCTCCAGCCCGCCGCCCGCCCCCCTGCCTCCTGGGGCGCCGGCCTCCTCATGCAGGCTTTGCCCGGGCGCTGCCCGTGGCCCCCCGCTCCGGCCCCTGCCGTGCTTCGCCGGCTGGGCCGCACTCGCTGCACCGCCGGTGCCCTGCCCCTCTGCCTGCATGGCTTTCTGGCCACCTCCTCTCTCTGCACCGGCTGCCGGTGTCCTGGCCGCTGCCGCCGCTCCCGTGGCACCGCGCCGCCGTCGGCATCTGCCCCGTCGGCCTGTTGGCCTCGGAGCCCCCCTCGTTGGCTCCGCCTGGCCCGCCGCTCCCCCCACCGGGCGCTGGCCTTCTCGCGTCTGCCGGCCCTGGCTGGCGTCCCTCCGCCGCTTGCCGCCGCCTTTCTCCACGCTCGTGCCTCGTTGGCCCGCCTGGGCTCCGCACTCGCACCTTTTGGTCTCGGCACCTGCTTGGGTCCGGGTGCCGCTGACGCTTTGTCTCCTCGTCTCGTCGCCGACCGGGGCCCCGCCTCGGTGGCGCGGCTCTCGTCCCGCCTGCGCTCTGGGCCCGCCGCTCCCCCACTCGGCGTGGCTCCGCCCCTCCCCGTCCTGGCTTGCAGCGCCGTTGCGCGTCGCTGGGCCCCCCTTGGTCTCGGCGCTCTCCCGCCTTCTATATCTAAGCCTTCCAGATGGGGTCGGAGCAGATGGGGTCGGGGGATCGCACCGCATCGCCGATGCATCGCCGATGCGGCTGAATGCGGAGCCCGATTTGCTTCACGTCACGTCGCCGATTCATCGCTCACGTCGCCGATACATCACGCCCGTGCTTCTTCGATGCATTGCTGATACATCGCCGATGCATCGCCGATGTATCGGCGATGTGGCGCGATTCTCCGACCCCACCTACTTCGACCCCATCTAGGAGGTCTCTACTATAGCAGCCGATCGGGGACCCCACCGTGTGGTCGGCGGGTCGGACCTCTGCTTTGCTTTCTCTCTGCTTCCCCCCGCCGCCGCCCTTCCGCGGGCTGCCTCATCCCCAGACATCGGGCGTCTCGAAAAAATCGAGACAGAGGTTTTTCATAGTTTTTAGCCTCTCGGGGCCCTCGCCGGGCGTCGGGACCGTCAAAAAACGACTCGGGATGAAAAACCGGTCCCAGGGAAGTGGTCGGGAGATCGGGGGCCCGCGTATCGAAAAAATCGAGACGTCGGATGTCTGGGTCCAGCTTCTGCCCAGTGCGGCTCAGTGCAGCGCTGTACCGTCGCCAGCGTTTACCCTCGGCGCCCTCTCTCGTGGCGCCCTCGTGCCTGCCCGCCCCCCACCTCTCGACCGCCCGCGCCTCGCATAGGCCCGCAGACCCCGGGCCCTCTGGCCCATCCCCAGACCGCGATTTGGCTCACTGGGTCGCGTCTCTGCTGCGTTGGTTTCCCCCCCCCACCGGCCGCCCAGCCTGCTGGGCTGCTCCCCCCCCCGCTTCAGTTCGGTGCTGCTCCGCGCAGCTCGGTGCCTGCGCTGGATCTCCCCTCGGCGCTCCGCCCGCCGCAGGCGGCAGCTCCGAATGGCCCGGCGTCCCATCTTCCTGTCGCGCCGGGGCTCCTCTTCTGCCGTGTGTTGCGGCGTTGATTTGCATGCAGCGTGTCCCCTGTTGCCAATCCGCCGGAGCAGTCACCCTCTGCCCAGCCGCCGACGCAAAAAGTGTGTATGCGTGCGTGCGTGCAGACAGCCGGCCAGTACCAGATGGCATAAGCATGACATTCCAGAACTTCGCTTGGACCTTCGACACTGTTTGCCTACGCGGCTGTTTGTTCCAAGAGTGCGCGTGTCTGCGCGCAGGACGTGGATCCCACCGAGAGCGGACTGTCCGCGGAGCTGGAGCAGAAGTACCAGCAGACCGCGAAGCGGCTGCAGTGCGCCCCGCGTCCGATAGCACGCTTCGCTTCCATGTGTCTTGCCGCGCCCCGTGCCCAGACTCTTGGTATCGCTCGGACGTGTGCACTTCTTCTCGGCGGGGGTCATTTTTTTTTAATAAAAGTAGCTTCCTGGATCATCATTCGGAATATATATTTTATATTTATATATATATTTTGATATATATGATTACTATAATCTATATATATATAACAAAACGCACGAAACCGATGAAGAAAAACAGGGAGTGGACGTCCGAGCGATGGCCAGGACATGATCGCGTCGCGCACAGCCTGTTCGTGGCGGTGCTCGGCCTCCGGGGGTCCTTCCGATTGGATCATCCTGCGACAAAAAAACGACGCACGAAACCGATGAAGAAAAACAGGGAGTGGACGTCCGAGCGACATGGCCAGGACAGGATCGCGTCGCGCACAGACGCTTCTCGGCATACAGTCGGGGCCCTGAGGAAGGCACCATTTTCGTTGGGGGAGGGGCTCGGTGTGCCTTGATTGTTCTACAGTTCGCCTCCTGTTTTCCGGAGGTTTTCCATGGGAAATCGAAGCTCCACTCCCAGACATCCGACGTCTCGATTTTTTCGAGACGCGGGCCCCCGACCTCCCGACCACTTCCCTGGGACTGGTTTTTCATCCCGAGTCGTTTTTTGACGGTCCCGACGCCCGGCGAGGGCCCCGAGAGGCTAAAAACTATGAAAAACCTCTGTCTCGATTTTTTCGAGACGCCCGATGTCTGGGCTTATGGGAAAATAGGGGCCCCGGTCCTTATATTTGGGGTTCCTTAGGTCAGCGCCCCGCGACTGTATTGCTCGGCCTCCGGAGGGGCCCTCGCCCGGCCCCGGGGGGGGCCGCCACCACGACTCGCGGGACGGACAGCCAGCCGGCCTCGGGCAACGGGTCGGGCCGCCCAGGGCCCCCGCGTTGCAATCATTAAGTCGGGCCTGTCCCCCCTTACAGTGGGATTTTCGACGAAACAGGAAAAATAGCCCAAACAGAATCAAAAATAGTCCAAAACTAGTCTGGGGATTATCTTTCGAGTATGTTTTGACCTTGTTGGGGTATGTTTGTCTTCTTAATTTTTCGCCGAAAATCCCCCTGTAGGGGGACACGCCCGACAGGATGCACACATCAAGACGTCGGGTGTCTGGGCATGCGTGCGCTCCGCTCCGCCCCCCCCCCTTCCCCCCCCGAGGTCCCCGGCCCCTCTGCCCCGAGGTCCCCGGCTCCCCGCTGGCCCCTCCGGCTTGCCCTCCGTGCTGTGCCTGGCTCCTTCTCTTGGGGAGTCCCGGAGCGGTGCGGTGACGGGCCGTGCGGTGACCTCGAAATCCCCCAAAGATCTCACCGCACGGTCCGTCACCGCACGGTTTTGGGACCCCGGAGGCCCCTGTCGCCCGAGACATCCTCGGAGAGGGACTCGAGTCCCAAAACCGCGCGGCGACCCCGAATCCCCAAGGACGCACCGCACGGTGTGGTCACCACCCCCTCTGGGGGCCCCCGATGCTCGACGTCGCCGAGGGTGGGTGTCCTGGCGGCCACCCCGCCACCGCGCGTCGGTTGTAGGACACAGGCATCTTGGATGCCTGTTGGGATCTCGTGGGAAGCCTCTCGGAAGCCTCTTGGAAACAGTCTTCGACTGTCTTGGGGCTTCTCGGGGGCCTCGTAGAGGCCAGTCGCGGCGTCTTCTCGGCCTCTTGGGGGCCTCTCTACAAACACACATCCTGAATACCACCCTCCTCTCTTCCCTGACCCTGTCCGGAAGATAGCCTCTCCACATACAGTTTTCTTTCCGCCCGCACGCGATTCAAAAGGTTGAGGTTCGTTTTGGTTGCTGCTGTGATTGCTCTCATCTGATCGCGTGTACGTCCTTCAGAGTGGTGCTGCCGCTGGCATTCATGGAGTGCTCGCTTGCGTGGTTGTTCATGGAGTTGGGGCTCTCTTGCGCTGGAAAACAAATCCTTCAAAGTGGTGCTGCCGCTGCAGCGTGGGCCTCGTTCCAGGATCGGCGCTTTGCCACGGTCGTTCAGAGTGGCACTCTCGCCCCAGCTCGGGCCACTGTTTTCAGATCCGAGTCCCTCCTCGGCGGTGTCGCCCCCCTCCTTTCCTCCCCCTCTTCCTTCCCGTGTTCCTCCTGCCCCGCACGCTCCTCACGCGCACCTAGCTTGCCTCCTCTCCCTCTCCCTTCTCCCCCACCCTCACCCCCTCCTCCCCCCCCTCCCCCTTCCCCCCTCCTCTCCTCCGTTCCTCCCTCCCCACTCCTCCCCCCTTCCTGTGCTTATTCCCTCCCCCACGTGACAGCCCTCTCTTTTTGCATCCCTCCCCTGCCTTTCCTTCGGCTCCCCCGCCTGGCAAGGGAGCCGAGGCTTGACATCAGCGGGGACGTCGCGAAAACAAAGTGCAACGTGTTCAGAAATTGCGACCAGAGCCCCGGACCCAGATCTCGTGGCACGCCCAATAAAAAGAACCCTGCCCAGTGCGGCTGGCAGGCCCCTTCACGCGGGCGCGTGCCTTACGTTTGCCTACAGCCCACCCCCTGCTTCAGCGCACGCGACCTCGCCCAGGGAGCCAAGGTTCAACACTGACCCACAGCGTTTCTCGGGAGGGGGGGCTGTGCCAGAAATTTGAAGCAGATCCGCAGACAAACATGTTATTTCGCCCTTTCCTCCGTTCACTCCGTTCGGTCAGGTCGTTATGTTTGTTCGCTCGGATCGGTTCGCTTGTCCTGTTCGTCTCCAAGGTCGTGTTAATGGAAGATGACGATTAATAAATGACCGGGGGTCGTGTTCACGCGGCGGCGCCCAGGATGACGATTAGAAAAAACCGGCCGCGGGCTGGAAAACCATTTTTTAATCGTTCTCCTCCAGTCAGAAAGTTGTGCAGAAATAGCAGAAACTATCTTTTCCATCGTTCTCCCCCATTCTTTTATGAATCGTCATCCCGCGTTATCGAAGAGCCGAGCGCCCACAGGGACCAGCTCGCCGCCGAGCAGCGCACCGTGGCCAAGCTGCGCGCCGCCGCCGACCGGAGCTTCCAGGAGCCCTCGCGGCTGGAGGCGCACCGCCGCCTTGCGCGGCGAGCGTGGGGGAGGGTCGGGCACTGCCAAGGACTCGGCATCGCTCGGACGTGTGCATTGATTTTGTTCGGCGAGGACCCTCGAGGAGCATCCTGGATCATCTGGCGAAAAAGCCACGCACGAGACCGAAAAAAACACAGGGAATGGACGTCCGAGCGATGGCCAGGGGGAGGGTCCGGCATTGCCAAGGAGGGGCCACGGCCATGCCGATCACCTCCCATCGCTCCTCCCTCTTTCCCGACGGCACCGAAGCACGGAAGCCGCAGCGAGGCACCGAAGTAAAAAAGGGAGGAAGAGGAGAAGAGAAAGGAGGAGGAGGAGGAGGAGGAGGAGGAGGAGGAGGAGGAGGAGGAGAAGAGAAGAGAAGAGAAAGGAGGAGGAGAAGGAGGAGGAGAGGGAGGGTGAAGCATGGGCACTGCGAGGGTTGGTCAGGTGCCGCGCACACCCGGCGCCCTTCCCAGTGCTGCGAGAGTTGGTGAGGTGCCGCGCGCACCCGGGTGATAGGTACCGCCCTCCTCGTGTCCTGCCTCCCTTCGCCAAGCTTTCCCGTGTCACCCGCCTCCATGGTACCACAAGAGTTGGCTAGGTGCTGTGAACTCAGCGCCGCTTCCCCCTTCATGGAAAAGCAGCACGTCAAGGGTGAGACACCAGCTGGCAGCACTGTGAGTGGCGGCGCACCCGCGGCAATCTAAGCATTTGCCGCGGGTCTTGTCGGGGTCCCACGGTTGCCCCTCCTTCCTCTGCGTGCCCCACATCCCTCTTGAATCCTTCATGCAGGCGCGACGCCGCAGGGGGCGCGCCACTTGGCCAGGCGGAGCAAAGAGGGGGGAGATGTCATAGTTGAGTGAGGACAAGAAGGGAGTGAGGTCCTGCCTGGGAGCAGCGCCAATGCTCAAAGAAGGCGCCCCGGCCGCTTCCGTCTCCCGAGCTCTGGCAGCTCGGAGCAGATGCGTTGCTAACAGAAACCGCAGCTCCGAATTTGATCTCTCTCGGATTGCGCCGCGTGGAGGTCCTCGGCAAAGCTGCCGCTTGCGGTCTCTTGCGGGTGTCTGCCCGAGCCGCCTCTGTGAGAGCAGCGCCCTGCGCGCGGGAGGCTCGACAGAGCTTGGCGAAGCGCGGGCTAACCGACCACCAAAAACTGGGTGGGCTCGACCGCCGCCGCCGCGGATCCGCAGGGATCGGCCCCGACAAGCTCCGGGCTGCCGCCGGTGTCCTGCCTGCCAGGGGGCCACATGTGAACCCTACCCCTACCCCCCACGATTTTTGAGGGGAGGGTGGGGTTCACCTCGCTCGGGAGCTCCCGAGCGAAGTGAACCCCACCCTCCCCCTCGGAAATCGTTGGGGGGTAGGGGTAGGGTTCACATGTGGCCTGTGGCCCCCTGCCTGCCCAGAGAGCGCGCAGGCGGACGGCCCCTGGCGAGGGCCAGCTCGAGGGGGCCATGGGGGGGGGGTCCGAGGCATGCGCGGAGGCGGAGGAGGAGGAGGAGGAGGAGGCGGAGGAGGAGGAGGAGGAGAAGGAGGAGGAGGCGGAGGAGGAGGAGGAGAAGGAGGAGGAGGAGGAGGGGAGGAGGAGGAGGCGGAGGAGGAGGAGGAGGAGGAGGAGGAGGAGGCGGAGGAGGCGGAGGCATGCGCGGGGTGGGCAAACGTGCCTGCCGCTCCAGCCGTGGACCTCGTCACCGGCCGCCGGCAGGCGCCCTGCGGCCAAGACCAGGTCCTCCAAATGTTCAGGAGGGAGAAAAACACACACGCACACGCACACGCACACGCACACGCACACGCACACGCACACGCACACGCACACGCACACGCACACGCACACGCACACGCACACGCACACGCACACACACAGGCACACGCACACGCACACGCACACGCACACGCACACGCACACGCACACGCACACGCACCCGCACCCGCACCCGCACCCGCACCCGCACCCGCACCCGC